TTTATATATATATATATATATATATATACACACACACACACACATAATAAATACAGTACACACACATATATTATGTAAACAAAAACTGTTATTTTGGATGCGATTAATCATTTGACAGCACTAATATAAACATAACATATTTTTTCTTAAACATATACATGCATTTGTGTTTATATATATATATATATATATATACACACACACACACAATAAATACAATACACACACATATATTATGTAAACAAAAACATTTATTTTGGATGTGATTAATCGCAATTAATCGTTTGACAGCACTAATTTATTTTTGATGTGTTTGCCTTTATTATGATAGTAGAGTGTAGAGCAGACAGGAACTGAAGTGGGAGAGAGAAAGAGGGGTGCGATCGGGAAAGGTCCTCAAGCCGGGATTCAAACTCGGGCCCACAAGGCTAACGGAGCCGACTTTTTATACCAATTTTAAACAAATAATTAATATACATAAAACAAACCACTTAGTCATTTAAGATCACAAATACATTCTTTGATGCACTTTTGTCTCGCCTTTTATTTCGTTCTACTTTAAATCTATTACAAATAAAACAGCTGTAACGTTATTGACTGAGCAGGGGGGTATTCCAAAAAGCAGGTTTTGTGACATACCCAGGTATGTGTGAGGATAAGCGAGCAGATAACCTCAGCTTTCGGTTCCAAAATCGGAGGTTACTTTCAGGGTAAGTAACCATAGCAACTTGCTCTCTGAAGATAACCTGCCCCGGACCAGGTTATGTTCCAGGGTTAGTTCACTTCAGCGCTATCAGCGCATGCATGATCAGCACATGATCTACTGACGAGCCTTCAGTGGGCCTGACAGATAGCGCACAATATTATATAATATTACAATATGTAAAACTGCCTTTTTCCATCTCAAAAATATATCTAAATTTCCTCAAGGTTAGATTATTGTAATGATTTATTGGGTGGTTGCTCTGCGTGCTTAATAAACAAATTCCAGCTGGTTCTAAATGCAGCAGCTAGAGTTCTTACTAGAACCAAGAAATATGACCATATTAGCCCGATTCTGTCAACACTGCACTGGCTACCTATTAAACATCGTATAGATTTTAAAATCTTGCTTATTACTTAAGTAATTAAGCAATTACTTACTTCTGTTTCGTGCTGTACAGTTGCTTTGACACAATCTGTATTGTTAAAAGCGCTATATAAATAAAGGTGACTTGGCTTGACTTGACAAGTGTATGTCGCTAATTTGCTGTGAGCGCTGTCATGGTGTATTGTCTTAAACATTACATTTGTTGGTTTTGTGTGGGAGGAGGGATTGAGTGTCTGTATATTTTGTGTGATGATGCATTTGTAATGAGGCTTTGCATTTGCAGACTTCAATTTAGCTGTTTTATTTTGGTAATATCAGTCACTCTCGCTGTACTGTTTTGTTGCGGTCGCACACCGGACGAGAAGCGCAGTGCCCCGGTGCAACACGTATTGCACACAGTTCAAGACGGCAGTCCAAAACATTTAATCTATTCCCAAAACAGTCAAAACTTAACTTCAAGAATGAGCAAGTGCTGTCAATGAGTTTAGAGTTCGGGGATCGAAAACAGCAAATGGGATGAGAATTTGCGATCTGTAGCTCACTAACGTTAAATGAATCATGAAATTTATTAGAACCACAGAAAGACAAATGTTTTGCTGAAAAAATGCACAATACACAATTGTCCAGCCTAGGATGAAGTCATTATGTACATTAACAATGATTTGGGACAAATATAATGTAATTTAATGGAAAATTATGTGAGTGGTGCTGTGGCACTGCAGGATTATGAACAGCACCCGGAGTCGCAGCTGGGATCCGTGGACAGTCGCCGGTGGTGCCGCCGGTCAGTGTTCGTGCACACAAAGAAAACAATGTGTGCAAATATTAAAGACGTGGTGCGGTGTAATGCAGCGCTGCACTTGTCCTCCGGTGTGCGACCACATTAAGGCTGGAATAGCCTTTCGTTTCAGAGGTGGAATTGTCAAAGATGACTTTTAGAAGAGGACACCGTAAGCTAGGCTGGTAGTTTGTAATTTCCCACAACGAGGGTAGGAGGAGAGGGCCTAGGTTCTAGAGTCACGGTTCGCTACTGAGATACAGTATAAAATTGGTAATAAATATGCCCAAAAAACATGGTTACTACTAGGGTTTTTCTATTCTATCTACTTGTTTTTCTTTGTGTGTGTGTGTGTATATGTGTGTGTGTATTAGGGGTTGCACAGACTAACCGTTGCACCGACTAGTCGACTTCAATGCTCTGCCATGACGCTTTAAGCTTGACGTCGACTAGTCGCCGGTCCTGTAGAGGGCGCAACAGGATAAGAAATCCTTGAAGGACTTTCACGTTTTGCACGTGCGCGAACTGAGTTTTGTGGAGAAATAACCTATATATTAGCCTATTGTTCATGAAGGCTGGAAGTGAAAAACGCCTTATATTCAGGTGTGCATAATTATTAAGCAGATTATCTTCTACAGATAAAATCTGGAGATGGACTAAAAATGAACTCCCAAAACTTACTGCCAGATTCCGGAATATTTCCGAATATTTATAATATATCCGAAATTTTTCAGTGGTACAAGAGGATGGTGCGCTCAAAATATGATCTTTCGCGCGCAGAATTGTGGCAGAAATGTAAGCCCATAAGTTAGTAGCCGTTCTAATCTAATGCGCTGCTGCACTGTAACGCGCACACATAGGACAGTAGCGTGTACATCTTGCGCAGATCACGTGCGCACAGAATCATTCAATATAACGACCTAAAGACAAAAGAACTGATAAAAATGAGCTGTTATGGGAGCAATAGCCATGTGGGCAGCGCTGAGTCATATGCCATAGCTGTGCACAAGCTGTTTATCACAGCTCCAGACTTATTTGTTCATTAATGACGTCATCAGCGACTAGTCGACTTTGACTTGACTTTCATCACATAAAAGTCGACTTTAAAAAATAAGAAGTCGTTCAACCCCTAGTTACTACACTTTTACTATAGTAACCATTGTTAATTTTTGTAAAGGATTGTCTACAATACAATTAAATAAATGTTTTAATAGGTTATAACATTTACATCACAAAATATTAGGGAGCGACATTTATTTAGTTCATTGTGATGTGAAGCCATTGGGGGTTACTGAAAAGCCCCATCAAACTTGGGTTGCGGTGCAGGGGGACGGGACTGTAATGACAGGTCTGCATGGCAGGGTAAGTGGTGTAGCCTATCTGGAGTGCATATGAATATGAATATTAAGCTTGATATGTTTCATGCATTATATTTCCAAAACACGTGCAATTGATAAGCTTTCGTGACGACGTGCAGCAGTGACCCGTCAATTGTCCTGAGCATCTTTCATGCTGGCCTCGGGCAGTCGGTTGAAATCGCCGTGGGACCCCCACAGCCTTGGGCCCCTATAACCGTCACCACCTTCCAACCCACTCGCAACGGCCCTGCCTAGTTAATATCACACAAGTGCTGTTTTTACGAATATCAGCATGATTGCACATTTATTGATATTGATTTTATACAACAGTTCAACAAACAAGTAAATACTGAGTTACATTTTAGACACAATATTGCCTGGTTTTATTCTGTTTCACAGTGAATATAGTTCCGAAACACACAACCATGTGTCTTTCCTGAATGAAGCAGCGTGTTTGAACGAATCGGGTGAGTCAATGAGTCACTGGCCCATTCATCATACACTTGCTTCATTCCTGAATCAAGTAGCTTTTTTGAATTATTTTTTTTCATGAATGATTCAAAGACTTATTCATTCATTTATTAACTTTAAACTGCCACTTCCGGCTAAAATATGAGTCCAATATCCATAATAATGCTTCCTCCAATGAAAAAAGTCCATCTCCTGTTGTATCTCACATCAAAATCAACCACATTTGTTTTGAACTGTTTTGGCTTGTAGGAGGTGCTTGACCAGACCACTTTTTCACTGGAGGAAGTGTTATTATAGATTACAGACTTGTATTTTAGTTAAAAACATCTTAATAATAGATTTGTTTTTTCAAACACGCAGGTTTTGTCTTCTCAAGATGCCAACTGATGGACTAGAGTGGTGTGAATTGTGGATTATTGTGAGTTTTCTCAACTGTTTGGACTCTCATTCTGACGGCACCCATTCACTACAGAGGATCCATTGCTGATGCTATATTTCTCAACTAAATGTCATTTTTAGGTGATCTGTTCCTTTAAGTGTGTGTGCGGACAGATGG